GGCTGGCGGGGGGCAGGGAGGGAGGGACCGCCTAGAGGGTCTTACGCCGCCCGCGAGACGCCGCGGAGGGGAGCCGCAGTGCGTGCGGCCTGGGCCCGAATCGTGGAGCGGAGCGCCGCGGGCGTCGGAGACTGAGCGCTGCGGAGGGCGGGGGCGCACGGCCCGAGGCCCTGGAGGCCCGGCCTCCCCAAAAGACGGCGGGGCGGGGGGGCTTCCTCGTGGCCTCCGTCCGGGCTGGAGAAAGGCTGCGCTGAGGCTCCGCTCGCCTCCTTCCCTTGTGGGAGGGTGAGAGAGAAAGAGGGAGGAGAGAGGGTGGGAGGAGGAGTTGGAGAGGGGGGCTCTGCGCCAACCGCCGGCCACTCTAGCCGCTCCTCGGGGAGGGCGGGCGGGGGAGGGCGCGCTGAGGCTCGCCCGGGAGAAGTGGCCGCCGATGACGGCAGAGGTGCAGCCGGCCCCGCGCGCGCAGCCCCCTCCCCTTCGCCCTCCTCCTCCTCTTCCTCCTCCTCCTCCTCCTCCCGGCTCGCCGGCGGCGCAGAGCAGCGGCGGCAGCGGCGGCGGCGGCAGCAGCCACCCAATGTCTTCGGCGCCCGAAAAGCAGCAGCCACCGCACGGCGGCGGCGTTGGCGGCGGCGGCGGCGGCGGCGGCACCAGCGGACCCGGCGGCAGGTTCAATAAACAGAAAAGTGTTACCGTTCTCGCCTGGAAGGATCCTGCTGAAAGCTGGGCTTGGTGGGCGCCATCTTCCTGCTATTTTTTTTCCTCTCTTACTTTTTGCCTCTCGCCCCCCTCCCGGGGTGGGGGGCGTGGGGAGGGCGGGGGGTGTGCGTGTGCGTGGGGGTGGCGGGAGTGAGTGCGGGCGTGCGCTGCACTCAGCGGCGGCCCGGCGGGCGGCGGCCGTGGCCGTGCTGCTGAGGCAGGGAGGCTATGGAAAAGTAGTGGGGCCGGTGCCTTGTCGGCGGCCGGCGGTCCTCTCGCGCCGCCGGTACCCTCCGCCGCAGGTCGCCGCCTCCTCCTCCGCCGCCTGCGCCTTCTCCTCCCCCTGCTCGCTGGTCGCCGCCGCCGTCCATGCGCCGCAGAGCGCCCGC